GCGACCATGAAGATTGCCCCTCCTGAGAGAAAACTGGCTCATTCGGAAAGACCAGAGCAGATAATCACCTCAATACTATCTTCACCATCAAGTAATGCCCCAGATCCATGTGCAAAAGAGACTATACCGAGTGCTCTCAAAGAGGAGAAGAAAGGAACACTGGAGGAAGAAGACCAAGTATTTCCTGATGGACAGGAAAATAAAAGAAGGCACCATGATAGCATTGGAAGTGGCCATTCAGCAATTAAACCCCTGGTGGCCAATGGAGTCCCCACTTCTTTTGTGCTTAAGCCTGGGTCTCTGAAGAGAGGCCTCAGTTCTCAGAGCTCAGATGACCACACAAATAAGAGATCCTGCACCTCTACCTTGAGCTCCTTGACAAGCACATAAACAGCTGGCATCCCTATCTCCAGCCGCAATGCCATTACCAGTCCCTATAGCTCTACTCGAGGCATCTCCCAGTCACAGCTCTGGAAGATAAGTGGCCGCAGTTTGTCACCTTTCTCTAGCCCAGCCTCACCCAGCTCCCAGACACCAGAGAGCCCAGCGAAGAAAATTAAAGAAGAGCTATGTCATCATTCCAGTTCCTCAACTCCAGTTCCTCTTCCTCCTCTGAAGAGAAGCTTCAGTTCCCAGAGCTCAGATGACCACACAAATAAAAAAGATGACCGCCCATTGGCAGCAGAAAAGGAGTCCCCGGGAGAGAGGGTTACAGATACAACCCTACAGAAGAAACAAAACTTGGGAAATCGCTCATCTACACCTGGCAGCTCTGGGACACGTAAACGCAAAGTTCAGCTACTGCCAACCAGGCAAGGGGAACCGCTGACCTTGCCTCCACATCCCCTGTTTGGCTATCCAATTACTGTTGAAGAATTTGACTTCGAAAAGAAAGCTTCATCACAATGACTTGAAAAGGTCTTAGAGGACAAGCCAGATGCTGCCTCAAACTCTGTCACTGAGAACCCACCCAGCACTCAGCCTTCTTTGACCTTGACCTTGCCTGGCTTTGGATCTACCACCCAGACCACCAGCAGTGGAAGCAGTAGCTCAGCATTTGGCAGCATCACTCCATCACCTTTCCTGTTTGGGGGATTGGCGACTCCAGCTGGCAGTGGGGTCTTAGGGATCAATGTAGCTACCCCAGGCACCAGCTTCACCTCGGGAGCATTCAGTTTTGGAGCAGGACAGAGTGGGACCACAGGTACCATCATCCCTTTTGGAGGAGGCTTTGGTCAGTACACCCTGGGCACACCCAGTCAGAACACACCCTTTGCCTTCAATATGGCTGGCATGCCTGCAAACAATCCTTTGTTTGGAGGCACCTCCATTCCCACCTTTGTTCAGAACACCCCTGCCCTTGCCCTGGGCACACTGGGCAGCAGCCTCTCTTCTGGGGCATCCTTAACACCTGCCCAAGGTTTTGTTGGCATTGGACCTTTCAGATCAACAGCCCCTTCATCATCCACTGGTGCACAATCCAAGACCCCAGGTGGTCGAAGGCGACTTGTGGCCCAAAGGCTGCTCAAATGCAAAAATAGCCTTTGTCCCTTGCCCATTTCCCCTACCCCCTGCTCAAGCCTGGACATTGGAACCTGCCTGCAAGGAAGAGCCTTTGACCCTTCAAGTTACATAAAGCAAATCTCCACCAGATCTCTGGCCTCAGCCACCAGGAGGTAGTGGCAGCCCTGAGGCCCTTTCCCTTCTGGAGGAAGCACAAGTCTCAGGGAGAGTGCGGCAGAGCGGAAGGCTGATGCCTTTACCTGAACAGTACTACTGGTGATGCTGGAGAACTAAACCTCTGCACATATTGTTCACTTCCCTGACTCTTGCTTAGTGTATAACCTTAGCCAGGCAGCCTCTTTTCCCTTTTCCCTGAGAGCTTCTTTACTGGAGGGCATAAGCTACGGCCCACTTGCATCTCTGGTGTGCATCTGATACAGGATTGGGGTAAATGGACTTTCCTTAAAACTTTACCCTGCTTGGCTACAAGAAGTGGTTCTTCTACCTCTGGTCCCTTTAGAGGGCTGTTTCCCATTTCTTGCTGCTTTTTCCCTCGCCAGTTCCTTGCAGGATTTATTCCACTTTAAATGCTCTTGAATCCAGCTTTGACCTGGAGACCCCAGAGGGTGCTGCTCCTGTTGTCTTCCTCGTGCCAAGTCTGAGTCAGTGTTTCATCTCCAACCCTGCCAATTTGTCCCCTAAAAACTTGGTGGGTCAAGACTGTTACCTGGCAGAGCCAACCATCAGGATGCCTGCCGCTGCTTCAACTACCTCCTCACCCACCTACCCGTTGACCTCATTGAGCCTTTGTTTGCCTCTCAGAATTTGTAAGTTACTTTGAAGCTCACATCTATTGCTCTTCGAATCAAGTTTGGAGGAAGACTTGGATTGTATGAGTGGCAGCATGTTGGTGGTGACAGATTTACCTGTTTCAAGTTTTCTGGGGTCTAGCTAATTGAATGAGGAAAGTGCACCGCTTTATGGCTACAAGTGCTGGCTCCTGAATTTTCAAACAATGTTTTAACTTTAAGGGCTGGCAGCCCAGCAGGATGGAGTCTGGGGAAGCAAAGACCTTGTCCCCCTGCTATTTCTCTACCACTTTACCTGATCTCTCTGGAGCTATATTACCCACCCCTTTATGTTAGGAAATGTAAACTAACCAAACTTTAAGAATCCTGGTTATTTTTTAGGGCCCTTTTCATCCCATTCCCTTATCTCCCTTTGTTTCAAAACCATACACCCCAGGCCCAAGAGCCTTGCTGCCATGCCCACCTCTTTGAGAGAAGTATGAATGCTTTTGTCTCAATTAATAGAAAAAAAGTAAACATTTTTTAACAAAATAAAAATTTATTTTTATATTTGAGATAAATTGCCTTTTAAATTCCTTCAAGTTTGTTTCATTGAGGTGATTAAGTAAGTATAAACACTATTTGCTAGGTATTAGCTGTACAGTTCAGTTATGCCTGTGTGAAGAAGAGGCTCTAATGCTGCCCCAGGCAGCTTTCCTGAGGGACTATAGCTCCTTCTGTAGGTGTTAGATAAAATGTAATTCTTACTTCATAAATAATGTGATGTAGGTGTAACAGGTTCCCCTCCCCTCCCCCCCACCCCCCACCCCCACCCCCACCCCCATGACTGAGGGTGAATGTTTTGTGCTGGGAGACTGCTCCTCCCCATCCCAAGATAGCTCTGAAGTCTGACATTTTAATACTTATCTGTGTGAAGCTGAATAAGGAGCCTGAACCTCAAGTTGTAAATAACTGTTAGGATTGGAAGAGGGGCACACAGGTCTAGAAATCCAAGTTTCTGGTATTCTGAGCTAGCTTGCCTCAAATTCGCAGGCAAGATGGTTGGCCCAGGAACCCCTGAAGGAGGCTGTCCTGATATGATGTGAATGTGGGTGTGTATGTGTAGTTACCTGCACTGGACAAGAGCAGAATGCTGGGACTTTCCATTACACATAAAGATTAATCCTTGTTGAAAATAATAAAATATACATATTTTTATAGACCTACCCTATATACATATACTTGTTCACATTGATAATTATATTATTAATAACATATTGTTATATATTGGTAATGATAAATGAATATATAAGTATATATAATATACTTATTTTTAAAACTTTATACTCATATAAAATTTTAAATGCAGGTTGGCTGGTGATAGTACGAGCTAATATTTATTGGCCACCTCCACGTACTAAGCACTGTGCTAAGAACTTTGCAGGTATTATCTCATTGAATTTTCAAAAACATTTCTGATATAGATATAATAAAGAAATGGAATTATGGGTTAGGTTAAGTTGATTTTCAGTCAAAACAGTGGATTCAATAAGTAGTGGACAATCTATTCCACACTCCACCACCACTTTCATCCTTCCAGTTGACTCCACCAAGCAAATGATGGATAAAGTACAACCATTCCTGGAAATATTCCAAGAAAGAAGTAACTCCAGGAATAAGAAACAAAGAAACAATTCAAAGTTACTCAGATGAACGGAGATGAAGCTGACAGGAGCATGGGATTATTGAGGCTGAGCATGGGTTTTATAAGACAGGTTTAATGCCTTTTTCACTAATTCAGGAGATGCAATTAAGACCTGTACACAGCAGAGAGTTGGGTATAAGAACTCTACATGAATCCAAGAAACACGATGGGCTGCTCATCTATGAAATAGGGGCAAGGCAACTCCACCAACTGGTTGTAGAAAATGGCAAAGAAGCTAAGCTGTTTACCGGAAGTCATGGTTGGAAGAAAAGTCCTCATATAAGAAACCAAACCCCAATCATACACCATCTGTTGATATTGAATCTTAAATCTCAGTATCCAGATGGAAAACCCCCTGACATAAAATGGATAAATGATATTTCCCAGTATAAGAAAACAGCACTTCTCCATGAGTATGTCTCTACAACCCATGCAAGAAAGCATGCCAAGACTAAATTCATGAGAAAAGTCACAAACTACACAAGGGAACAAATCACTATCAAAGTCAGCAGAAATAATCCCCTGGAGAACTTAGATTTTAAGAAATACAATCCTGGACTAAAACTAAAAAGACATTTAAATAAGTAGGTTAAAACAATTGGTGAGATGAAAAAGAAAGGGCTGAATTCCATAGGGCAAGAATGGGACATTATGGGGGAAAATTTTTTAAAACCAAGCTAAATTAATGTAAACAAAGGCAGATTTAGGAGTAGAGATAATTTATCCAAGGTCACACAAGGAGTAAAAGATAGATTCAACATTTCAACTCTGGGAGTCCAACTTTTCAGGACTATACTATTTTGTCCCAAAAGTTTTTTACACTGTAGGAACATACCCAAAATACCAACAATACTTTTATCTCTGTATTTTCATTTCTTTCATTAGGATGGAATTATGAATGCTTTTTGTTTTCTTCATGTTTTAAGTTTTTAAAATTAACATAACCATTGTGATACAGAGAGAAGTATTTTTTCTTTGTTGTAACAACGGTTTAAGAATTTAATTACAGTTTCCTTAATTTTGATTCATACATAATTGTATTAGACCCAGTAGTCTTAGAAATTAGCCCAAGAATATAACCTTACTCTCTTTACAGCCCATTCAAAACTTCAACTTGTAGAAATTCATATATCTAAGTAGTTGTATTTAATTTATTTTTCTAGGTATGCTAGATCACAATTTGGACAAAGATCTCAGAGAACCAGATGCTAGGAACCACCAGGTGTCTCTTACATGATAATTTTTACAAAAACGAACTTCGGAATTTCTCCATTAATTTTATATTGAGATATAAGGAAACAATCTTACAAAATGCATTTCTACATTTAGAGTGCACTTTATAGCTTGCCTACTAGGTTACATTGTGTGTGTGTCTGTGTGTATGAGAGAGAAAAGGAGAGGGAGAGAGAGAGGGAGGTGTTAAGATTTACCTTATGGTGTGTTTTAGTAGTAACTAACTATTTAGTTTAAATTTCTTCCAGGATTAAATATCTGGGGTTTCTCCAAAGCAAATTGTCTTATTTGTTTGCTTTTCTCTTTTTCCAGATACTCAGGATCTTGTAACTGATCATTTCTTTCTTTTTGAGTTAGTTATCTTGAAAGCTCAGGGACAAATTGGGAGTTATGTTAGTAATACAACAGGCTTTATGGCATGATTTCCATAGGCCACCAGATCTATTCCTTTTTCTCATTTCTTATTTTTCTTTGATTTCCATTATCTTTTTTATTAATATTTTCCAGTGGTACTATAGCCACATAACTTATATAAAATCCCTTTAAGAGCAGCAAATCAGCATGTATGTGTGTGTAGTATTAAACTTCATCTGATAGTATTTTTCGTTATCACATTTTTTTCTAAAATAGTGCTTCTTTGCAGTGAATGGTACTTCTTTTTCACCACAGGTGAGGTTAAATTTAAAGATCAAAAGATTTTCTGACTTCAAAGATCATCTGAAGCATCCTTTTATCTCTAGAGTTTTACCCCCAAATTGTTACAGATCAACAGCCATGTATTTTGCTGGCGTTTATGTTTTGATAGACGATAGATGTTACCTATTAGATATACATAAGGACACTCACCTAGGGATAATAAGATCAAAGAAAAATTATACCTGATGGAGTTAAACAGGCAAGAAAGATGTATCAAGTTTACTGCAATAGGGGTCAAGACTAGATTAACTGGAGAGAGAGACTGAACCCAACTCTGCTGGATCAAAAGGCAGGAGGGTTTTTAAGCACTTGGGGTGAGGAAGGGGGAAGGTACTGGAGGACTCTGAGGATAGGTTGGTGAATGGGATCTGTAAATGCTAGTTGGTACTTTTTGAAGTTAGGTTCCTACTCTCTCACAGAGATTGGGTGATAGGGACACTATCTTTTTTGATGACCACACTTCAGGGGGATGGCTACCAGGTCCTTGAGAAAGATATTTCTGGGTTGTAAAACTCACAAGGGGCTGGGAGGTGATCTAGATATCAAAGGAACAGGACAGAAGAAGACTTTGCAATTACAAGCTTTCTAAAGCAAATGTTCTAAGGAAAGGAAGGTCAGGCGTCTAAAGTCAGGAAGAAACCTGTCTAAAGTTTAGTAAAGCTAGGGGGAAACTTAGGCCATCTCTATGAGTAGCCAATCTATCTCAGTAAACAACACTATATTAGTTTTACCATATATTTGGACCCATAGAAAGAGGTAGCTTGGTCTTTTCAAAGATATATTTTAATATTTAGAGCATACATTTTAAGGATAGTGTGATGATTTACATGTGGCATTATCCCATCCCTCTCTATAGTTGTTCTATCTTCTTCCCTCGTGGTCAAAACCTACTCTTAGCTCTGCTGAGATTTCCTGAGTCTATCTTCGGTCACCACTACTCACACTTAGTCTCAGG